GAGGGCAGATGTGGTCAGACACAATGTAAGTGAAAACATGACATAATGGGATGAAGGCAACTTAGAGAAAGAGGATGTGTAAGGTAGTTCATCTGAATCTGAGTGTTTTTGCTGATATACAGGGCAAGGAAGAAGGACTGTAAAAATACAAGCTTGTAACAAGAAGACCAGTTCCTCTCTGAATCTGTTATTGTACTCTTTCGCCATTAAATGACTCTCAGCTAAAGCATCTATTTTAAGAGGGGAAAAAAAAAAAAAAGAAATCTCACCAAGAAAGAGATTTTTGAGGTGGGTTTCACTCCCTGCTCATGATGGAGGGCTGCAGCTTTGGGTGCCAGCTGCTGTGCTGCTCATGTCCAGCTCCTGCAGTAACCCATGGGGAGAAATCTTAGTGGGGGATTGACTGACCCGTTTCTAGTCTTGTGAGGCAGGACAGAGTGAGGACAGGTCTCAGACTGAACTCAGGGTTGCTTCTAAGAGCAGTGTCACTGTAGCCAGTAGATGTTTCAGAGCCTGATTCGAATGCTCACATAGAGGTGGCTGGTGTCACCTGAGATGCTATAAAACCTCTGAGATGTCCACTTGGCCAAGCAGAGGTTACAGTCCATGTTGGAGGCACCTTGCCCTCCTGGAATAGCAGCCAAGACACTCTGGTGTATCTCCAATGGTTCTGAGCTTGGAGGATACAAGTCCTTTCCAGTACCTGAAGGGAATACAGGAAAGCTAAGGAGTGACTTTTTAAAAGGGCATGTAGTGACAGGACAAGGAGTAATGACTTTAAACTGAAACAAGGTAGGTTTAGATTAGACATCACAAAGAAATTCTTTACTGTGAGGGTAGTGGGGCACTGGCACAGGTTGCCCAGAGAAGTTGTGGGCGCTGCACCCCTGGAAGTGCTTCAAGGCTGTGTTAGAGAGGGCTCTGAGCAACCCAGTCTGGTGGAAGGTGTCCCTGGTCATGCCAGGGGGTTGGAACTAGATGATTGTAAAGTCCCTTCTAACTCAAACCATTCTATGACTCCACAATACTCAGCTGACCTCTTAAATCTTACACCTCATTAGTTGACTTTGATGGAACAGACTCTGACATGGGCTGCTGATAAGAAGAGAGAAAGTAGAGAAGTGCTGTGTACCAGTGAAGTACTATGTATTGTAGAAATTATCTGCACTGTAGTGAGCACTTACAGCTTTGTAAGTGTAAGCACTGCAGTGAGCTACTCAGCTCTGAAGCTGAAGAAAAAAAAAGATGGACAAAGCAGTGGCCTTTGTGCCTGAGACTGTGCCTTTGCTCTTCCTTTCTGGGTAAAATGTGCTACATTATTGCTGATGGCTCTCTGTGGCCCATGGGCTCAGGACAAAAGGGGTGCTTCCAGGTGAGAGAGGTCCTACAGGGAAGGGCATTTCTGAAGGGTGGCTGCCACTCCTCTGGAAAGGGACAAGCCCAAAGAGCTGGTGCTCTGTAGGAGATTAAATAAGGCACACTGAGAGTCTGGAAAGGCTTGGGTTTTTTTAATTCCCGTTGGGATTTTTAAAGTTTGTTTGCACAGAAGAGTTCACCTGGGAGCAGAGGCACAGTACTGGGACTGGGGCAGTAGAGCAGAGGCCATGGCACTCTGAGGTCTGCAAGGATCAACCTGTCACTGGTTTACTTTGCTCTGCAAGCCAAAAAAATCGAGAACATCGAGTGGTGAGGCCTGAGGCATCTAAGCCATTTGCATCAAAATGAACTGACGGGTCCTCTTGAAATGAGAGGGTATGAACTAGTATGCGGTGTCCAGTCCAGCCCAGGTATTTAGATTGTGTCCTTGATCCTGACAGCTGAAACATGGGGCTGTTGGTCTCCAAACATTTACATTTTTCAGATGATGTCCTTGGTCTAAATTTTTATTCTTATCCCAAGTTAGTCCTAATTGCAAGTGGCTGATCTCCTGTGTGAGTTTCAATGGCAGGACAGAGAGGGATAATTTGATGCAAACCCAACACATTTCAGTCCTTCAATCAGAGCCTGTATAGTGTGATTGCACAGGGAATTAGTATCAAAATTACACAAATACTTTTGTATTTATGTCTGGGTAATTTTTGACTATTAATTATTTAAAGTTGATAGATACAGAAAAAGATAGATAGATAGATAGATAGATAGATGATAGATAATGAATATAGAGAAAAGTTAGATATAGAAAAATAAGTTCCTTAGTTTTACTAAGTTCTTGATGTATACAATACAAAAATCAAAGGACAAAATTTATGGACAAAATTGCTCTTTTCCTTTGCTATGAGATTTCCCTGAAAAAATTGTTTCCATTTTGAAAAAAAAAAAAAAAACAACTCAAGCCAAAAATTTAAAATCTGTAGTAATCCTAATTCTGAAGCATAATATCTTCAGTCAAGCCAACTCCCTGTTCAAATCAAAGTTTTTATTATATTTAGCATTATGCAGACATTTTCTTTTGAAGCCTTGCTCACCAGAAGAGCTTGGGTTCACAGGTCTCCTTGCAGTGCTTGAAATGAGAAGCTGCCCCTGTTGCAATGTGCTGGCTGGCTCCTGGAGAAGGCTCTGGTGTCACGTCTGAGAGCACGGGCTTTGACTCATGTAAAAGGTGATTTGGGGGATCCAAAAAAACATGAGCTGAAGTAATTTAATCTAGTTTTAGTCACCTTTATGTATTTTCACTAAATGAATTTTTAGCATCCTTGTGTTTGCAAGAGACAGCTGTTTTCTTTAGTCAGCCACACCTTCATGTTGTTATCTCCAGATGAGACTCTTGGATCTCTGGACATCTGTGCCTGGGCTCTTTGCTGCACTTCAAAAGGCTCCAGATGTTCCTGTCCATGGTGGACAACTGAACCTTGCTCAGAAAGACAATGCCTCCACTTGCCTTAGGCATCTCTTTCAGTGTGGGCTGGGGGAAGGCTGCCTCTCCCCATGGCCTGTGTATCTTGATGCCTACTCTAGAAGAGACTTCCTCATGGTGATTCAAGTCAGATGATTTAACTCTGCTTTCCCATTTATCTTCCTAGTGGAGGTAGTTTGAACTCACAAGTCCTTCAGACCACACAAATCAAGCCAGAAAATAAGTTCAGAATAGCAATATTTAATATTTACATATATCAGTGAGGCCAGTGGTCACACAGTTAGCAGACAGAGGGTGTTCTCAGGAGCACACAGACATCCCCAGGGCAGGACAGCCTGGAACAAGCAGATGGCAGCAGCACAGTGCACTTATTTTTCTGTGCTGGAGGTGTGCCAGTGGCTGTCTCTTCCTCTCCTGGTTCTAGCACAGCCAAAGTTGGCTTTATCCCAGAGGTGAGAGTCAGAGAGTCAAAACTAAGGGATGAGGAAGGGCAGGTATTTAGGGACGATGTTCATAGAGCCTCTGTGCCGATGAAGGAGCCTCTCTCCAGCTGACTACATGCAAATATCCTTCTTTCCCACTGCCTCTTTAACTTTTTTCCTGATTTGCTGCCTGCTGTAAGTGGTTGCACTGTCCACGCTTCACTGCTGGCAAAGAACATGAGCTTTTTAAGCCACCTGGCAGGTTTGGGTGCACCTAGTGATGGATTGCGAATTTCAACAAGTCTTATGCTTTCTTCTTTACAGAAGTTGCATTTGAATTTTACAGGTAAAATTTCCTCCTTCTAAGGGTGAAACTATGCTCCAAGATGCATATGCTCCTCATCTAGGCAATTGGCCTTTTCATCTCCATTTTATATAAAGGACAATGTGAAGCATTTTGCATGTTGCATTAAAGGACAGCACAAGCAGCCACGTATGTCTGCAATAAGTGTATTTAAAGAGCTTGTTCCCATGCTACAGTGCAGAAATACAAACAACTTTGAGAAAACATAAATCAGGAAAAATAGGCTCCAAATGCTTTAAATATATTCAGGTTTTCATAGCTGCCTACATGCATTCAGGATGGGCAAAGACTATTTCATGGTTTGGCTGACAGTTCATGTCCAAGAATTAACCTTTGAGGAAGTCACTGGAATGAGGAGTTTTCTGAAACTTCCCAGTCATGGACATTAGCCCAAGATCAAGAGTCTGCTCTTCAGTGATGATGGGGAATTATGCAGTTCTCGATTGCTATTGCTGTTGCTAAAAAACTAAAGCTGATGCAATTTACTGCCTTCAGATTAAATCTTCTATTTATTACTAAGCTGCACATAATTGCTACATATATCTTTGTTTATCTTTGGTGAGTTAATTCCTTGATCCATGTGCTCTATTCTAGGGCAGCCATACAGACCTGTGTGGAAGTTATTGAAATTCTTAGGCAGTTTCATGAAGGCAAATTTGGTGGTGAAGTTCTTCACCCTTTTGTTAAACCAGACATTTCTAAAGTCTTGCTGCAAACGCTACTGTCTGTGGTGACCCTAATGCTCCTCTTAGGCTGCCACAACTCTCAGATGCTCCTGAAGAACTTATTTAGAAGTGCCCTGGGCAAGGGGATCTGGCTCCAGGGTGGCAGAAAGAGGCTGAAAACCACATTCTTCAGTTCCCTCTGCAGTGTCTCAAACACTGCTCAATACACTCTCTGCTCATCCTCATTCAAATCTCTGAGTGCCCCATTCGAAAATTAATAGGAACAGACAAGTGAGTTCGTGGTGAGATTTGGGGAGCACGGGACATTATTTACATCAGCCAGAGAGCGCCTGCTTCATGCAGCTGATCAATTAACAACAACTCCATTTCCCACACACATGAGAGGGCAAGTGGTGATCTTTTATCTTCTGTCTTGTGCTTTATACATCAGTACAGCAGTAAGGTACAGACAGATTAATGTTTTTGCCAGTTCCTGAGGTTTAGTAGGTATGTTTAGAGAGATGAAAAAGTGGAGTCTCAGACTGAAATGATCTAGCCCTTTTTCACCCTGACTTCTTTATAAAAAAATAATTTTGCCCTGTGAAACACCTGAACATTGGGGTTTTTTTTGTTGTCCCCCCATAAATAAAACAGCACAGTGCACTATCCTTCTTGTATGTGAATCGGCATTTTGGGGCTCGTCTTGGCATTCCTTGTAGGTCTTTCACATTCCAGAAATATTTGTCTGAAAGGCAATGAATGAAAGATAATTAATTAATATTTCAGGGGATATCTGACTTACTGCAAATATCTTGTACAATGAAAAAAACAATTAAAATGAAGCAATAGTGATAAATGAAACTTGGAAGAAGTTTTCTTCCATTCTGTAAAATAATAACATTACTACGTTTGACCAATTTAAAACATCTCTACTTTTTGTCTCTCACATATGCTAGGGACTTCTTTATTAAGAAGTCTTCTTAAATAGCAACAGAACCATGCAATGAGTATGTCAATATGTCATACTGCTGTTTAGAAAAATCTGAGGACCGGTTATCCCTGACTATGATGTGACAGACAAAAAGAGACTGTGCAAATGCATCTGTACTGCCCAGAGGAGCTCGTCCAGGGACTGTGCAGGTCTCTCAGCTCATGTACCATTACTAGAGCCTGAAAAATAAAACTGGAAAGAACATAAAGCACACTTTTGCTGCATACCAACCTTTCTTCTCCTCATACATGTGCCACATATGAAGCCAGTGAGTCCATTGATGACTTGAATGAAACAAAGAATAGTTTCAATCACACCGATGACCAGGAGAATAGAGAAAAGGACGATATTCCAAAGAATGATGTTTTCAGGTTGTTTACAAACACTCCATGTTGTCTGGTTAAACAAATAATTGTCTCTGTGATAGAGGAAAGTAATTGGCAAGGTATTAGAAAGTAAAAACTTGAGAATGCTTTCTCTGTTTTCTTTCTGGCATTTCATTTTCTGAACCTGGATGCACAAAGTGAGTCTCAAATGGTGCTATAATTACTCAAAGCTGGTGATTCTCCCCTGAATTCTCTTTGCAGAGAGGCAATTGATAATTAGGGAAGAGAGCCACATCCGTACTTTGCTGCATGCACAAGAATCTCCTCTTTGTTGTATGGCAAAATTATGTTAACAACTAAAGAAAAAGGTCCATAATGGTTTTAAAATGTGTCTCCACATTCTCCATTCCTGCTGTGGTATCTCAGCCCAGTCCATTCATTATCTCTAGCTCTGATTTCAAGAGCATAGTTGTCAAGGTTGACTTTAAAGATTCAGAGATTTTTGCTTTGCTTTTCAGAAGTAGGTATAGCAGGCTGAATTCTTGATAATTTAACAGATTAATGTGGCACAGTAAGCAAATATTTCCTTTTGACTCCAGTGGGAGTCACAGCTCACGGGATTTTGAAAGCGTGGTGCAAATGGCACAAGGGACTTGTGGCAAGCACAGCAGATGAATCTCAGGCAATTTGCCCAAGGATGATTCCTTGGTCAAATAAATGACCAGCTGGAACATGCTACTCAGAGAAGTGTGAGTTTAGGTGTACACAGGGTGAACCATCAGTTCATTTTGGAAAAATCCAAGTTCACTTTAAAAAGATACAGGAGGGATCAGGGAAAGCAAAATTGGAGGAGTCTGTAAGCCATACTCACTCCAGAGTGTCATTCCTGAAAGGGTAGAGGTATTCTCCATCACCTGTGTCACACAGAGGACCCCCAATCAGCCCCAACACAGAGATGACCACACAATATGCTCCTCCTGCGAATCCCATCACAGACAGGATCACTGACAGCAGCATCTGAAAGGGAGAAGACCTTCAACATAGTGTGCACAGAGGTTTGAGTAGCATGGAGAAGTCACAGTGAATGAGAAAGAATTCTCTTTCTTGTTTCTTACTTTATGCTGAAAATACTACTGCTGCCTAATTTGTGGGAATAAAAAATAGTTGACTTTTTCTGACTGTTGTAGCTGTCCTAGATGTTAAAGAACTTATTGAGTTTTACCCTTAAGCTGTCAATTATGAAAAATCTGGTGAGTTTTCTTTCAAAAGCCAGTATGAGGCCAGTCCTGGATTGATCTGTTCTGTATCATGTGCCTTGGCATTTCCAACTCTTAATCTTTCTTAGCCCTTGCACCAACAAAAAAAAAGCAAGCAACTAGTGAACCAGGTATGAAAGCAACAAAAGATATATTAATTGTTTTTGCTAATTGATGAAATGCAAAAAAACCTTTCTTTTTGCTGCTTTCCTTCATTTTGCAACACCATGACACGTGATTACCACTTCTCATGTTGAGAAATCTAGTTGTGCTTCATGTGGCAACAAACCAGCAATGACTTCAAATCATACGTAATGCACTCAGGTATTACATTGGCCACTCCCACAGAAATGTTACCTTCACTCCATTCTGGGGTAGTTTTCAAGTAATGAATGGGATGTATCCAGTTGCTGTTTGTCTATAGAAACAAAAATCCCAGGAGGGTGCGAGTGGTGGTGCATCTAAGACAGGCTTCTCAATAATCTTGTTAAGAATCACTGTTTGTGCTTGTTCACAACTCTGCCAAGTGGGGGAAGAAACTCTGGAGCAGACTGATAGACCAGGGGAAGACCTGGAGCAGGGAGAAGGCAGCAGGCCTGCCTTAAAGTCAGGGTAATGGCATGACCAAGGAAGCACTTACAAAATACTTTCATCCATGACTCAGGTTTGAAGCCAAATATCTCAAGTCTCATAATTCCCCATTGCCAGCAAATACCAGGTGAAATCCACCACCCCACAAGGCAGGTGGAAACCTTCTAGTCCCAGTTGTTCCACAGACCACTACAGTCAAATGGAAATATCCACCATCCATGCTGGAGTTTTTTGACAAAGCCGTGAAAAGGCTTCACTGTCTGAACACATTCAAGCTGGTGAAGGCAGTTTCCAGCTTACCAGCCAACTGCTTTCTGTAGGACTTGCACGATGCCGGTGTGTGAATTGGCTGATTTTGTGTATTGTTTTGCCTCTAAAGCAAGCCTTGAGTTAAAAGTTGCTGGGATTTCTCATGGGATTTTTTTAATCTTAACTGATTAACAACTCAGTCTTTTCTTGCAAAGCTGGATACTCTTTCCTTAATCTTTATCTGCATGTTGGCTGAATTGCCTCTTAGCAGAGCTCCACTGTCAGCAAAATGTAGGTAATTTAGCCTGTTGTCCTGGACCAAAACACTGTCTGGGTTGTAGCTGATGCACTGTCTCTCACAATAAGATCACCAACCGTGCCTTGTAGTGAAGGGGAGTGACTGATACTCTCTTTGAAACTCCTACCTATTCTGAATCACTTTTCCCCACTTGTTTTCTCATTTACTTCAACTATGCATTCTGCTTCTTGGTTGAAGGATCTTAATTATGTTAATAATTCATTTTAGTACAGCATAGCAGTACAGGGCATCCCACAGAGAGTTATGAAGAAAAAGTCAAATGGCCTTTTGGTATTACTGTTTTATGATAGCAGTTACTGCTAGTAGTGCTTGTCAGTGCTATCTGTGATGACTCTGTTCTGTCACATGATTGTCTCATTTGGAATCTGTTGACTGCCTGATAGCCTCAACCCAACTATTTCCCTTACTGTGTACAAGATCATCTAGACAGAGACTTTACTTGTAACTGAAAGAGGAGTCTGAAGCTGCTGCAGCTGTTAGATTGGCTCTCCTCAGCATTTTCTAGACAAGCAGGGGCATTTCCCCATTTTATCTACTGATCTGGAGACTTTTCTGGAGGCTTGCCTCATAATCTGTGCAAATCCAAGAATTTTATTAACCGTTTCATCATCTCAAGCTTTCAGCATTTTCCCTAGTTGCACTTCTCATTGAAATATTTAATTTCCTCATTTGTGTCCTTAATTGCAACAGGAGGCCTACGCTGGGACGTTTGAGTGTGTTGAAATTTGTTTCCCATGATGTTGACCTGTTCTGTACTCCTGAAGAGGTTTTGATGACCATTTTTGCTGATTTTCCCTGCTTTATTCAATCCTTTAATTGAATTGTCCCTGGTGAGCTGATGAAGACTCTTAGAATTCATTCTTTGCATGTTTGTATGAGCTACTTTGGTGAAGTTACCAAGTTCCTCCTGTCCCAGCTTGTGCTGCTCTTTAATACCCTGGTTCTTGCTCCATACACATTTCTTTCTTCTCTGTTTCTTTGTCTGGAAGTGTTTTTTGGTGTTCTTAGTTTGTTTGTTTGTTTGTTTTGTTTGTTTTTATGGAATTGTTATTCTGTCTGGTTATCTGGATATCTTTGCTTAAGTTTGTCTGGAAAGGCTGCTATGGCTATTCTTATTCTACTAGTAACTCTTAAGGAAGACTTAGAAATACTGGAGTATATGTTTGCTGATGCAATGAGAGAAGCTGTATTTTGGGTGGGTCTTTTTCCTCATCACGTCAGTGCAGTGGATGATTTCAGATGTGTACGTGCTAAGCTGCAAGACACTGAAGCTTTCTAAATCTATTACTTTCCAAATTCATTACTCCCTAATGCAGGACAAGAAGCCATTGATGTATGTTTGCAAGCAATAATTTAAAGTTGATTAATGAAAAAACTTAATGTAGCATGTAATCACTGTGAACTAGAAAACACACTGAAGTGAATAAAAAGCATGAGAAACATACTATTTTTATTACCGTTGAAGATACTTTGGCAGTGTGTAAAGGCTTTGATGAAGTCTGAAACTATTAAACCAGGAATTGGGCAAAATAAAATAGAACAGAGTCCCTGCACTGTGCAAAATGTTGTGTTTTGATTGAACAGTAAGTCTGATCAGTAATAATTCTTTAACCTTTTTTTTTTTTCCTTTTTTTACTATGACAAGCAATTCTGCAATTTGGAGTATTCAAGTGTAATTTATCATTTTATACCTAAGATTTCCAAAGCAGAAAGGTGCCCAAACTTGCCATTGGATTAACAGAGGCTCCCAAGTAGTCCCATGAGGGCTGTTTCTCTGCCAGTAGGTGGAAACCCTTAGCAGGTCCATCCAGACCTACCTCCCAAGGAGCTCTGGCACTTTGGGAGGTTGCTGAAATTGTGGATTTTTGAACCAATCCCAGGAGGCCTCTGCTCTCCAGGGCCTCACACCACACCTACCCTGCCTTGCATATACAGCCCTTATAGTCAGGATATCTGAGCACCCCTGCTCTGGATGTCTGTGCATTTTCTTCCACTCTCCACAAAGCACATTTTGCCTGAAGCTTTTTCCCTTGAAGAAACAGACCATCAGCCTTCAGATCTCCCTGCAACACTAACCTCTTTCTCAATGTTTGGAAATCACTCTTCCCCAGGAGCTGTGCAGGGTAAACTTGTTTTTAGTGTTGTTCACAGCCACTCACTCTTCGCTCATGTCCTCATCGCATCCCTACTTTGAGCCACAGACTCTTTAAAATATAGAGGATAGAGCTTCACCCTTTCCACCTCACAGAGGTGTATGACTCCAGAGGGTGTGTGCCCAAAAAGACAGCATTTTCATAGACTGTCCTCACCAAGCCTGTTTTCCAGTTTAGTTTGGGTAGCTTCATCACTTGGCCATCAGCCACTTTGTTGATATGGTTTAGTGGGCATGGTGGTATTCATTTGAAGGACATTCATTTGGACTTAATGAACTTGGAGTTTTTTTCCCAACCTTAATGATTCTGTGATTTTTCATTTTGTATTCTACAAAATATCAGTGCATGATCAAAATACTTTCTTAATAACTACTTTATTCCTCCATAACAGCAAATAAAGAAGAGGAGAACAGCTTGTAGGTAACCAATTAGTGATGGGAAGGTGCAGACAGGGTATCTGGCATTGATGTACTGCTGCTAGGAATGGCTCAGACAGTGAAAGAGGAGGGGGAGAATGGAGGATCATGGTGGGTCTGTGGATGTGGGTTGATGGATGACACTGGGCTACCACCTGTGTTCTTGGGCTGGGGAGTGAAGCCAGCCAGCCTGGGGAAGTTTGACTCTTGGCTCTGTAATATTTAGGGCTGGTATGAAGGATGGAGAAGAGACACCTGAGATGTTGTGTGAACTCAGCCCAGTTCAGCTGGATTTTCCCTTGTGACTTAACAGATTCAGTGAGCATAGGAACCACTACAGTGGCTGTATATCATCACTGCTTTCTACATCACTCAAAGTCAAGCAAAGCAGCTGGCTCAGGCACTGTTTGCAGGGTGCCTAGGATCTCACCCCAGCTCTGCAACTGGCCTGCTTGGCCATTGTCAGCATCCTGTCTGTGCATGTGACATTTGGTAAAATCAATGTAATGGCATGTCCCTTGGGATGTGCTTGCTAATGTGTGACATTCTAATAAAGAATGCTATTTTGGTATTATGAATCATGAATTAATTTAAGTCAAATGTTTTAAAGAGGCAAAAGTTTTCTCATGGATCAGACTAAATATTAATTGAAGAGTACAGAAGAGACATGCTTTATTGCATGGAATCTCTCATTCCAGGCTGCTTCTGAGAAGGATACAGACTCAAAAAAATTTTTAAGTCAGTTTATTCTTGCCAATAATGATAGCCACACAGAAGTCTGTGCCCAGGGCTTGAGGATGAATGGAGATGCCTTTATAATATGTTGCTTTATAATATTCTTAATTATCAAGAAAAACATCTCTCTGGCCTTTCTTTAGATGTCAGAGAGCCTAAATTGCATTTTCACATTTCACATGCATAATATTTGGGCACGTGTGAGCTACTGGTCAGAACTGCAGGAAGCAGTGCTGGCTCCTCAGTGCCAGATGCAGCATCTCACGCTTTTGGCATGGACATGCAAATGGGGGACGTGTGTATCCCTACAGAGAAAAGCAGGGATGAACCTGTGGAAAAGCAGATTGCCGTGGAAGGGTATAGAGGAAACAGGACTCTGTGGAAGCAGGAGGAACAGGCAACTGTCTCAGTCTTTATGATTGCCTTGAACAGGGGAAGCTGGAGCCACATTTTACTTCATGAGATGCAGTCCCCTTTGCCATCAGCGTGTGCCTGAGGTCTCCAGCACTGGCCCTGGCTGATTTCCCTCATATCAGCAGCTGCCTCATAACGTTCTTGTTGGCTAACTGAGCTCTCAGCCCCAGCCCAGGGACGCTGCAGATCAAGCTCCTCTTCTCCGTTTCCCTGACATGGCTGCTGACAGTGGTGTGACGGTTTGTCACTGCACATTTCCACCTGCTGAGCAGCCATTTAAAGAGCTATTGCACAAACTCTGCAGTGCCATTTCAACACACAAATACCCACTTACCCCACATCTGTTAGCGCAACATCCTGCTCCACCTGCTCCCAGCATCATGAATGCTGGCAAAATAACCTGTAAGAAAAGCACAGGCTGAATAAGTGTGCAGAACTTCTGCTGGGGTGGTTTTTAAATTCTAAGAGCTTGGGCATCATGTTCCTCAAATGTAAGTCACCTTCTGTCTCTTCTCTGGGAGTTACACCTGCTTGGATGTTGGTGCTGCTGAAGAGTTACCCAGAAATAAGTGTGGGATTACAGCTAGAGCTGTCTGGAAAATTGCTGGTACATCAATTCTGATTTCTCAAGCTATATGGCTTTTTTCAGGGTATAAAAAGATCCATCACAGTATTGTTGGGGTTTTTGGTTGGAAAAGGTGTGTCAGTTTTGAGAAAACTGAATTTCTGCCAAGAAAAGATACATAAGTGACTAAGAATTACAGTCAGTGTAAACCTCCTGAGCATTCTGCTCTGGATTATAATTAGGAAATCAGCCTTGAGCTTCCTGAAACAGATATGACTTTGGTTTGGGGAGGGGGTGCGGTTTGTGCTAAATTTCTGGAAAAATAACAAGATGGACTTCAGTCAATGGGGAACTTCCAGTTCACATAAGCTTTCACCATGGTAATTATCAGATGGAGCTGGACCAATACAATGCAGTCAGTAACTTGAGATATAATGCTGCCTTACAGAAACTTCTAAGAGTTAGGAAAAGATGCCTTTAATTTGGTAGCCAGAGGGCAAGAAAGCTTGGGTGGGTCTGGCTGTGCAACCAGCACACTCCCACTGCCTTGGCTCTACACACCACAGCTGGTTAAAGCATCTCAGAGAGCAGCACAAGTAAAGGCGTATTTTAAAAAGTAGGAAATGGTTACCATAAAGTTAATGAAAGAAGGAGAACCCTAATCAGTCAGTCAATAAATCAATCAATCAAACAAACAAACAAATATAAAAGACAAAAACTGTAAAAATGGCCTGACTAGATGCCGGCAAGATTTTCTCTCATGTAGGACAGGAAGAGCAGAATGTCCATGACATTCTGCCCACAGAACAAAGCCCACAGAATTTATGTGTGTAGTGTGAATATCTCTGTTGAACAGTGTGGGACATTGTTATGAAACTTGCTTAGATTTGTAGGCTCCTAAGTATTTTCCAAAGGATTTATTCTCTGTTGCCTTTTATGCACACCCTAGAGGCAACCTACAGCACCTACAGTGGTGACTGGACCACATCTGGAAGCCTGCAGAAGTAGAGCACTGAGGTTAAAAAGGTGTTCCTCTTCCTGCAAAGAAGTCTGCTCTTAAATAATCACAAATGGTCCCCAAGGCAGCCTCAGCCCCAGTGTTCTATTGTCAGGCACTCAGAAGGAGAGCTAATACCTCTGCCCATCAAACCGACACTCCTTTTCCTCCAGGGCTGTCATTTTGCTTTTGAGGTTTCCCATCTAAGTGGCAAACACATTTGTATCATCTATTAGCCTGGCTCAGGATGAAGGATTTGCTTGGCAGCTTTCTTTTTATGCAGTGCCTGATTATAAACACCTGCCTTTTGACATGGGAATGAGAATTTGCTGGGTTTGGCTGTTGTCAGTAAAACAAGAGCTGTGTGTGAGCCATGACTCAGTCAGGCATTTCCTTCTGTTGCACAGAGGCTTTCTATGAGGAAAGGCGTTACCGTGACATATAGAGTGAGTCTTACTCTCTGTACATCCTAAATATTTGAAATAAGGAAATTGAGATGGTTTCATGTCATATAATTTCCATTAGAAATTCAGCAGAGGAGGAAAGGGTAGAGCTGGCTACTCAGCCAAAGGGTGTGCTGACCATCTTGTATCAGTCTACAGATGAAGTTCCCAGGTAAAGAGAAGTTTACTGGCTCACAGAGCTAAGCCAGGCTGCTCTGAAGTTTCTCCCATGGTCTTGACTCTGGAGGCTGTGTCCTAGTTGTGGGGAGATTCTCTAAGATCAGGCAACCTGTTGGCATGACTTGCCTCAGTTTCCTTTGGGAGGAGTCCAGGTGCATGGGGGAACGTATTGCAGCTTCATCTTTCCTCACTGTAGTGTCAGGATATGGACCAGACTCCAGTCGTGGGACATCCTGTCCCTTGTTTTAACTCCTTAGGACACTGAAAAGCCAATCTTCATTTTCCCATGCTTCCAGCACCTGGAAGATGGAGCTGATGATAACGCTTTCTTTCCCCTTACCTGTGGGCATTTCTCATGCTGTTTTCTGGAAAATGTGTACACTCAACAGCATTGTTTGTGGATCAATAATTACTCTTAATGCTGTGTTTTGAAGGTCAATGCAAATTTTTCCTCTTCTCTGACTAGCTGTTCTCATTTTTGATGTATGTGGTGCTGGCCACAGGCAAGTCTGTGTGGAAGCCTTAAAAGAAGGCACGTTTTCAATGAGCCAATGACGCTCTCATGTCTTACATCTTTCCTTTCCTTTCATTGAACGCCAATGACTCCTGGGCTTGCAGTGATATGAATTTTCCACAAGGTCTCTCATGTAGTTGCACTTCTTCCTTCCACAAACTCACGCTTATGTTCAAGCTCAGCATGAGTAATAGGCCCATGTGGTAGCCACAAGAAGAAGCAGGCAAGCTGCTGGTGGGGAATAGTTTATTGAATGACCTTATGCTTCTGCTTTGGGAAATATGAGTATGAACCAGATCCACTGCAGGCTTTTCATAGACTTAAGCAGCAGCTGCATCAGAGGCTGACTGTGCATGAGATTTACTTTTTTCTAAGTTAATTATTCTTAAAGATGCATTTATTTTTTGGCCAGCTCTGTGCCAGTTTGCCATCTGCCAGTTTGCCCAGTACTGGTCATATGCATGTTACTTGCTCAGCTTTTTTACTGCACTTGGGTAGATAATTGAAAGAGCACAAAGGGAGCAGGCTTTCTGATGAACTGGAAAGATAAGTATTATCCAACGTGTTCTCTTCTAGACATGGATACTCACATAAAAGTGATCTTTCCTGAGGCCTAGAATGGAGAACCAGTTATAGAAGAGCACATTCAAACCAGATCCAACCCAAAAGAAGGTGGGTGGGAGTGCGGGAACAGGAGGCATTTAGCTTATTAAGCCATTTTGCAGCTCCACATTTGTCAAGTGTTAGCTAGGTCTCTAACACCTGCTGAAATATGTTTCAGTTTTCTCCATAATGTTTTTGTGAATTGTGTGTACATAAAATCAGTTGAAGGAGAAACATGGGGTGCAGACAATAGTGAAAACTCATCTTCTCCAGCTGACCTCAGCTTTGCTGTCACTCTTGGAGGATGAACACTCATGTAACTCTTCTCTACAGTGAGCAGTCAGGCCTAGTGCTTCTTCCTAACTTGGAGTCCTGATATTTATTTCAGGAATGTTTTGTATTTCTTTGACTAGGCACTTTTTTTGCCTTAAACGCATTTTCTCAGTTACATACACAGCTTCTCATTTAACCTGTTCACATGTTTATGCAAAACACATTTTTACGACCTTTTTTAAACAGAGATTTTCTTGGCCCCAAATTTAAAACAAAACTGAACAAAACTCACAAGAAATATTAATCTCTTACCAGTATCCCAGCTCCCAGAATGCCGTGGAAAAACCAGACCAAATCAGTTATCTCGCTGAGCTGCAGTACTTGTCCATTGGGGAAGTACAGGAGAATGTTGGAGAAAATGGCACATACTGCCAGTGGGAAGAGAGTGATCCCAATGCACTTTGAACACTTCCCCGTGCACATGGCAGCTCTCTGCTCAGGAAACATACAGGGAGGTTTGGGTTACTGCAGTGCAGCGAGCACCAGATTTCAGCAGTTTTATACCTTAATGAAAGAAGAATCAATTTTGTAGAAAGAAATGTTTCCGGTAAGACATACACAGATAAGCCTGTTCTACAGACCCTGTTCCCTTCAGAGAATTTATTTAAAATTGAATTATTCACAGCTGGGATGTTTAATTGAATTTATTTAAAATTGTAGTACTAAACCTGTGTTAGTAGGAAATTACCAGAGAATTTCATTTTAGTTGTTAATGGACAATTGTCTGTCCGTTGGGAATATCTGTAACAAAACCATGACTCCACAAAGAGATACCCTGGCTGGCAGTCAGGGCTAAGGCCTGGAGTGGAAGGGAAGGCGGATACTGTCCGGTTTAACCAAGTCCGGCTTTCAGCTGGGGGGTGGTTCCCTGTGGGACCTGCCAATCAACTAGCTAGTTTGGAAGATTGGCACCCACTTAACCAATCAGCAGGCAAGTTTTGGAGATTGACACCTAGTTAAACCACTTAGAAGAGCTGGATACGCCTCTATGAAAACACATTAAAGGATGGGCTAGAGGGGGGAAGCTCTCTTGGCCTCTGAAGAAGTAACTCGCTGGGCCTGGGCAGGCCCCGTGCAGCCGGGCCGGGCCTAACCAGGCCGGGCTCACACAGCCTGTGCAGCTGGGTTGGTGTGCTGCTTGGCTGGAATTTCTGCTGCTCCCAGGCTGTGCCACTGAGACTGTCCTGGCACTGCAGATGACCGCGCAGCCAGGACTGCTGGCCGGAGTCAGCGTGGCCAAGACAGCACCGTGCGGCCGTGGCTCTCACATAAACTTTGCTTAACTCCAGGACCAGCGCTGGGGCTGGCCCCGCAGCCAGCACTGGAGATGGCCCCAAGGCCAGGAATGGCCAGGGCCAAAAATAGGTGCTGCTGGCCCAGTCCAGGAGCAGTCGTGTGGCTGAGACTGCGTGGCTGCAGCTATCTCAGCATGATTCGCAATAGACTTGATGTGCTTAGCTGCTTTTAGCCAGCCATGCTGCTAACAGAAAGACAAAAGCAGCAGGAGCAGTTTTGTTTCTTTTTCCCATTGCCTCACATGAAGAAAAAGTGCAGGGGCGGTGCTGGCAGCCAGCATGGCTTGCACGGTGCCGGCGAGGACCACATAACCAGCAGCAAAAGACACAGCCATTCCTCAATTGCAGACATAGATGAGATCAACCTTTCAATGCTGCAAGACTATAAAAACTGTTTCAATTGATAAAGCTTAAGAACAAATGAACCTACAAACACTAATTCTCTTCCAAATCAGGAGAAAATAAGAGTGAAGGCACGTAGAGAAAACAACAAAGAACTCTGAAGTCAGTAAAGATGTCAAATTCTAGATGGGAGAGGATTAAGGAGATGCCTTAGTCTTAGGCTGAAATTCTTTTGTGAGGATATAGTGGAGATATATTTTTTGATACATCAAACTTCATTTTTTCCCTATAATTCATAAAGTGCAAAAAGAAATGCAGCATTCACCCACAGCCCATGAAAAAACCCACTCATGCTAAAGCATATAAATGCTAAAAATCTATAATCCAATAAAAAGCTTAAACAGCAAAACATAAGAGAAATTAGAAACTTTGCCCCAGGGATAGAAGAAGAAAAACCTCTGTTCCCAGAGACAAAAAAGAACTTATGTTTTTATGCTAAAACAGCTTACCCTGAAAATAGCACCCCATGAGCTGATGTGGCCCATAGAAGCAGCTTGAGAAAGATGAAAGCATAAGAAAGACCTTCACCCTGCAAACAAATTTTCCTTTCCCAGGCAGCTGATTCACTATGACATTAAAGCCACGAAAAAACTGTTTCATGTAAAAAAGTCTCCACAGCATGGCAAGAGAGACTCCTCTCCCTAAGTAAACTAAAGAAAGATTATTTTAGAAGTGGTAAACTGACTAAAAGTTCCAAGTTTTATCTCTTCATGTTGTCAGGGGGAAAGAAAAGAGGGTGTGGGAGGAAGAGAAGTGTTCTGAAGATTTATTTTCATTTTCTTATAATTTCTCTTTTAGTTCTGTTAATAAAGTTCTCTTTATACCCTTTAAAGTTTTGAGGCTGTTTTGTCATCCTTCTCCTAATCCATATCTCACAGCAAGAAATGAGTAAATAATTTCTAGTGGCTGCATTAGTGTTTAGCCAGCCCTAAACCCATTACGGATGCCTTGGTTTTCTGGGACCAGAAAACTGTCTTGGGAAGCTGATTTGAAATCTCTTGCACTGAAGATCTAGAGGAACAGGAAATGGCTACCAAGGATAGCATGTGAATGTTCAACCCTGCCTCGGAACTGGGACAAGCAGGGAAGCCTCCCCAGGGTGTCTACCAGCTGTATTTCCTCTATTTCAGTAAAAAATACACCTTCAGCAAGAATTGGAGAAATATTTATAACTGTTTACTGTGGCATGCTTATTCTGCACGCAAGGGTTGATAAGACTGGGGATGGCACCCACCCTAAAATATCTGAAAAGCTGCAATCTTGTCTAATTCTTTGTCTGTTTGCTAAGGGCAGGTCAAAAAACCATCCCGTTTCAGGGATCTGTCATAACATACAGTAGCTTAGTAGTTCATAGCATTCAGGTTCTTTTTTTTTTAAATCAAAGAATGAACATAAATGAAGCACTGGGTGAGAGAGATCTCTGCAGGTGTCCAGTCTGACCTCCTGCTGAAAGCAGGACTACCACCAACACTAGGTCACTGTGTCAGCCACAGCTTTGTGTAGCTGAGCTTTAAAAACCACCAAGGATGGAGCCGCCACCACCTCTCTAGGTGACCTGTTGCAGGGTTGACCCAATCTCTTGATGGAAAAGTCTTTTCTTGTGTCCAGTCTGAATCTCCAAAGCTGTAAACAGGGCTGTTGCTCCTCATTATATCCTTTCACACCACTCCATCACCTCTGTCACACCCCAGTTTTTTGTAGGCTGTTATTAGACCCCTCTTCATCAAAGTCTACTACCTCAGCTCACACTGCACCCATGCTGTGATCTACAGCCGGAGAGAAAAGCCTGATCAGTACAAAAGTGGATCCACAGATATTCCTCCATGTCAGTTTGGAAACTTCAGACTACTGGGTCAGAGATTATTGAATCTGCATATCACCTTCAACTTTATGGCACAAATTGATCAAAGTTCTTCATGATGTTTTATCATAACTTCATTCCAGCTCAAGGCTTTTGAATGCCTAAAAATATAAAATGTGCATGAAAATACAAAATATCAAGCTGTGGATTTCTGTCCTCAGAGAGAACTGTCAGTTTATGACAAAAAGGACTTTGCTGTCCTGTGAGTCAGTTACCAAATGCAAGAGAAGGAAAAGGACATGGGCACACACCATTTCGTGCACACACCATTTTGTGCACATGCAGGTGCCTTTGCTTGTTATGTGCAGATAGTTTTTGTAATAACTGAGGCAGTCAGCAGTGAAATATCCCTCAATTTACTCATGTGCATTGGCTAATCCAGAAAGTTTTATGGGAAAGATTGGTGTGGAGAAGGCATTAAGCAGGCTAGGAACACAGAAATCAATCACAGTTGGGTTCCCAAGCAAGAAAAAGGCCCAGGTAAAAGGTAGCTTGAAGCCATTTGAGAAAGGCAGAGACAGGCTAAAACAGACTTTGGCAACGGAATGAAGACAGTAAAGAGATAAGGCAAGATATCAGGTGATATCAGGTCCTCTGACCTATTCAACTGAGAGGGAAAACAGAAAGACTTTATGGAGTGCCATGTATTGCTGTGAAGCAGCTGTGGCTGACAGAGACTTCTGAGTTTGCATTTCTATAGCAAAAAAATTGCATCAGTCTCTGCTGCTATGAGTTCAACAATAGCACTGTGCTTGTATGCATTTTCTTCTGAGCACTTTGCAGTCATGTTGAGCTTTATAATCTGTCTTTAAAATAAGCTAACTGGCATTAAACTATTCCAGACGGGATCATTTTTAACAGAGATACTTCTGTGTTTATGGTCATTACCTGTTGTATGCACAATGCTCAAAATTTGGCAGAGCATTTTGCAAGCCTCTGGAGAAAGCCCTAGCTCAAAGAGATAAAAATCTAAACTGACAAACAACGTGCAAGTGGAAGATGAAGTGGGGAAAGGGAATGGAGGAAAATGGAAAGAATACTGGATATTTAATTTGTCTTTCAAATAACCAGTGTCTAGGTTATTTTTTTACACTAACTCTTGCCTGCCTGCTTTCCTGTCTCATTCCAGCTTTAGCTTTTCCATTTGTTTGCCCAACCTCACCTACCTTCCCTCCCCAGAGAGTAGCAAACATGCATGGGCACAGCCTAGCCTCCTTCTACAAAAGCTAAGCCTTGTAGTTGAGTTATGAATTTTCTTCTGCAACTTTTGTACGTCACCGGAGGGCCCAGTTCTTGTACTGCACAAAGCAACGTGACGCTGCTTTGGCTGGAAGAGCTGAGGGTTCCAGCCTTTTCTCTCTGACCTATCTCAATACCACTTCAAACTGCAGGGAGAACTTACCTAAACAACAATCACCAGACCTAGGAGAGCCTCTACCACCAAAATCAGTGCCGCTTTGCCACCTGTGCACATCAGAGGATCTGCATGTGTTATTATAGCTTAGGAAAACACTCTGGTTTGCCAGAAGCACTAAAACACTTTATTAATTCACCAAACAAAAGCACATTCTACAGCTTTGTTAAGCAAGGTGGCTAGAGCAAGCTTCTAATTTTTAGTGAGCTTTTTAGAAAGTTTTGCTTTTTAATGCTACAGTAAGCATGTAAATACTTTTGCTTACCTTCTAAGCAGGGCTAAGATAGCCTCCAGAGTTTCCCACAGCCAGCTTCAGGCTTTCCAGCTCCTCTCTCCTGGAGTGTGGCAGTCTGAGCGAGGCACAGCGATGTTTGTGGGTGACGACCTCTATTAAACAAATAGCTGTTTCTCTCTGAGAATGAGGAAATACCCCAAGTTATCCCTGGTTGGCCAGTAAGAGG